AGCGTCTATTTCTCGGCTAATTTTCAGCTAGCACGTGCTGAAGAAAGAGCGACGCGAGCATGCGCATTACCGTAACTTGAAGAATTTCTGTTTTGATGACGTCACGAAAAACAAGGGTTTCAGACTGATCTAAAGGCGCATATTGGGCGCGTTCCAGACGGTGAATTTTTTTGAAAATTGGCACATGGATAGGATTTTCCTTTTCCTAGCTCTTACAAAAAAGTCATCGAATTTTATACATACACAAATGTAATACGCGTCAAAAACGAAAATTGCAAATTACTCCGAAAATTATGTACAGATTTTCTTGTGGCTTTATCAGTTGAAACTCCTTGGATGTTAACTCTGTTTCCCCAAAAACAAAGAAAATTCACCGCGTAGAAACCGAGAAACACCGTCTAGAAGTCAGGTAGGTCAAAAAAGCAAGCCAAGCATTTCTAATAGTAGTTGCCATAGCAACAACTTTGAGGTTCTGAAAGGGTTTTCCATATATAGTCTAAGGCTGTAGGCTTTCATTACTGATCTTCTATGGAGTGCTGTGAGATAAACATTTGCCAAGGGAGACTGAATTATTCATGCATATGTAATACCCAAAGCCTCGTAAAATACTATATAGAGCCACCTTAACGCAACCCTTCTTTGCAAACGAGTTTGAAGATTTATTCAGCGGAAATTCTCCCGAAAAAGTTAAATCTCATTAACTGAACAAATGGCAGATCCTAGCGCTCTGCTTGGTTGAATACAGCAGTGAATTTGAGGCAGCCAAGACAGGTGGGCATTTGTTATAGGGTAAGATAATTACCTCTACATAGCGAACCTGTATTTTGTCAGACCTAAATGGAAAGTTCGATAGCTGTGCGTTTTAGGCTACATGACGTGAACCGATTTATCTAGGCCTGGAGACTCATCAGAGGAACCGTTAAGGGTAATAAGACAACTCAGGGGACATAGCCTTTAAAATGCCATTACATAGTTATTAGTAGCCCACCAACCCTATAAAACAGTAAAATATACACAGTTTGCATCAAAGAGGAGGCGAAATTATTACAATTATTATGATTACACATCTTAAGAAAAAGTTAAAAATGTTTTTCATCATAGTTGAGACGAGGTACGAGGCACATTGAAAGCAGACTTCTGAATATGGTTAATAAATAATGTTTGCAAAGTCTAATTGACATAAATGTGGCTTCCCGAAAATTGAACTGAAAAATTATCTTCTCTGTTGTCTGCCCAAAAGAAACGCATTTATTTGGGAAGCAATACCAGCAGATACTGGGGAGTTATTAAAACAAATATGCAAAGGGCGAACGCTCGAAATGTCAGCCTCAGGGTAGTCAATTTTACATTAGCAAAGGAGTTGATAAAACCAAATGATCTTGTGATAGCCTTTACTGATGCAACACCACAAGGTTAGCATTAAACCATTTATATGCATATGATAAATCATGTTATCGATCCTCAGCATTTAAAGGGTAGATATATGATTGAAAACATCGTTACTCTCAATGAATTATAATTGTTAAGAAAAAAAGATAATTCTGCAGAGGAGCGTCTATTTATGTATGGCTTAAAATTCATTATTGAAAGATGCATTGTTTACTCGACCACCAGGAACCAACACTCGGACGCACCAGGCCACGGACATAAGAAGTGGTCTGTTTTCTGCTGAAGAATTTCATTATTTTGAATGTACCTGAAGTTGAAATATTCTCGGTTTACGACGAGATTGAGTGTACCTTGAAACGCTTGCAGAATACTTCCTGTCTTTCTATGAACCTGTTATTGGGGATAAGGCTATGTTGTGAGCTTCTGCCATCTGATAAGTACAGCGACCCTGAGGAATTCGAAAAAAATAAGAGTTCCCAACCCTTTTACATTGTAGTAAGGAAAGTGATTTTCTCGTTGTTAAATAGCAACATGCCATGACCATACTTACAAAATAATTCGGGATAGGTAAAGTAAAAGATGCTCTTACGAAAAATTAAAAAATTGTTTGGCCTTTAATTTAATACTTGTCCTGCTGTTAGATTTAGGACAAGCCTATAAACCTAGCCAAAAATACTTGTCTTTGTGATATAATGTCCTTATATTCATGCATTAGTTCATTTATTCTCTCTTTAAATCATGTATTCCTTTATTTCTTTATTTATTTTTCCTATATATCCCCTCTTGTTATTTCCCTTGTCAACCTTGGCTTAGCTGTATAGAGAAACACGGTCTTTGGAAACGCAAAAAACTGTCAAAAATCAACATCACAAAAAAAGTGAAGTGCCACCTTAGGATAAACGGGGCTTTGTAGGCTATAACGAGGTTTGTCATGTTCAAAATTATTTGCTCTCTCTCCCTTTTTTCGCAAGAATGCATGTGCCACTTGTCAAAGCGATTTTACTGTTGTACACGAGTTCGTAAGCACCTCTTGTCGGACAAAACTTCGCATATTTACAAGCACCTGCAATCATCAAGAGCCTGTCTTGACTCTTGTGATACTGAATGTTTCACGATTGTAGTGTATTGATCTCCATAACAACCGTATCACACCATCTGCTGTACAATAGTTACATTGTGTGACAACTGCATGCTGTAAAACTACTATTCCTGAGTATCTGTACAATTGTACTATATAAGAAAATAACCACGTGCAATAAAGGGCGAATTACACATGTGAAAGGGACGAGAGTACTTATCGTTGGAACGCATAAATGACAACTCTATACACTGGCGACGAGGATGGTGAAGAATCTCTAAGTGCAGACAACGCAGAAGACGTCCCAGTGCAGCCAGAAACAGAACCTTCAGCAGATCCCGCTTACGAGACAGAGCCAGAACCGGCAGAACTGAACGAATCCTCAGACGAGATGGAAAGTTTTCTACCAGCGCCAACACCCTTCAATGCTGACGCTTCAGACCCCTAAACGGAGTGGAAGCATTGGATGAGCGCTTTGGAAATCTACGTGATTGCCTCAGGCCTTGCGACCAAACCAGATAACGTTCAACGGGCCACACTGTTGCACTGCATTGGTCCGGCGGTTCAACGTATCTTCTACACGCTCCCAGGAGAGCACGAAAAGTATGATGATGTCAAAGCCGCCCTTAACGGGTACCTCGTTCCAAAGGGGAACGTTGTCGCAGAACGCTACAAGTTCAGATCACGAGCACAGAGGCCGGACGAACCGATCGACACATATCTGACCTCCCTAAGATGACTCGCAAAATCCTGCGACTTTGGTGCGTTGGAGGGAGAAATGATTCGAGACCAGATGGTTGAAAAGTGCTATTCCAGAGCACTGAAGCAAAAACTGTTGCAGCAAGAGAGCCTCGATCTGTCTAGAACCGTGAAGATTGCGCGGAGCGAAGAGGCCGCCTCACAAGAAGCCCCTCTTCTGTCTAGTGGAAGCAAAGAAAATTGGATCCGAATCGACCACGTGGCGCACGGATCGAAACCATCGAAAAAACCTAAAAAATTATACACGTGCTATCGGTGCGGTGGAACGGACGGCCACAATGCGACTGAGTGTGGTGCGATAAACTCCAGATGCAACTCGTGCAAGAAAGTAGGACACCTGGAGAAAGTCTGCCGATCCAAGATTAAGATTTCAGACCAGAACCGGACCAAGCAGAGGCCAGCGAAGAAGGAGAAGAAGCGACCCAACAAGATTCTTAGTCTGGAAGCACAACCATGGCTTGACGAAAGGGTAACGCTGAATCGCTTTTAGCACGAGAGTCTAGCTTTAAGTTAACAGTACTTACTCAAGTCACCTCCGTACATAAAGACGATGATAATGGTGAACTTCACTCACTGTTAAAGGAGTATAGTAACATCTTTGACGGGTTAGGAAAGGTTAATGATTTTGAACATAAAATTACAATTGACTCCGAGGTCAAACCAAAAAGTCAACATCTGAGACGTATACCTGTCAGTCAAATTGAGGCGGTAAACAATGAACTTGACAGGATGTTAAAACAAGACATTATTGAGGAGGTCACTGAGCCTAGTCCATGGGTCTCTAATCTAGTTATCGTTCCAAAGAAATCTGGACAATTAAGAGTATGTTGTGATTTATGCGAATTGAATAAGGCTGTTATTAGGGAACGGTACGTTTTAACCAAGGTTGATTATACGCTGCATGCATTGCGCGGCCCTAAGTATTTTGCAAAGATCGATGCAAAGAGTGGTTTTTTTTCAGCACACGCTAGCTGAGGATTCGCGGTACCACGTTTATTACGCCATGGGGCTGTTGTCGGTTTAAGCATACTCCCTTTGGACTTAATGACGCAACCGAAGCCTTCCAAAAAATGATGGAGAAGATACTTTTTGGTGTTGAACGTGTACGCATTTCGGTTGACGACGTAATTATTCATGCTCCAACAATGCCAGAACTTGTGAAGCGTCTTCGGCAAGTTTTCTAGCCATGTAGTCAATACAACCTGAAGCTCAACAAAGGTAAATGTGAATTCGGTGTTTCACAAATTTCTATTTTAGGCCATGTCGTTTCAGCAAATGGAATTCAACCCGATCCGACAAAAACGGAAGCTATCAGAGCCACACCTCCGGCGCAAAATATGTCCGATCTTTTCTCGGGACATGTGGTTACGTGGCAAAGTTTATTCCAAATTACGCTAACATTGTAGAGCCTCTCAGGAAACTCCCTAGAAAGGAGCAGAAGTGATCTTGGGAAAATGAGCAGACTAAGGCATTCGAAGCATTGAAGAAATCGTCGTCTCGCGAACCTGTTTTAGCTTGTTTCCGCTTGGATGCTCCAACATTCGTTGTCACAGGTGCCAGTCCAGTTGGTTTAGGTGCAATTTTACTACAAGACCAGGGCACTGGTCAGCGCAGACCTATCGCGTACATAAGTCGATCTCTCACACCGAAAGAACGAAGGTACTCGCAGATTGAACGCCAAGCTTTTGGTTGCGTTTGGGCAGTGGAACGCTTGCACAATTATTTGTTTGGCGTGAAGTTTACCTTGTTGACTGATAATAAGCCGCTTTCAAGCATGTTTGATCTGCATTCGAGCAAGGTCTTACCGCCAAGAATTCAGCGCTTGGCATGGCGTTCGCACCAATATGACTTTCAAGTTGCGCACATCTCGGGAAATTCTGACACAGCAGACTCGCTGTCACGTTTGCCATCTACAAACAATGATTCCTCAGACAGTGGCTTTGTTTACGAAAATTATGTACGATTTGTGTACACGTCCAACATGTCAGGTCTGCAAGCTGTCACCCTCTCTGACATGAAAGTACAGACAAGCAAAGATGCCACGCTTAGCAAGCTGCGTAGCCAAATTCAAAGCGGAACATGGTCGAGCGACCAACAACTAAAAGCTTACAGCGGAATTAAAGAAGAGTTGACAATTTTTGAAGGAGTTATACTTAGAGGAAATCGCATTGTTGTTCCGCAGTCGGTACGAAAACAAATTCTAAAACTAGCACATGAAACGCATCAAGACATAGTTAAAACTAAGCAATTCCTTCGTGCGCGTTCCTTTTGGCCCGGCATGGACCAAGATGTTGAAACTCTGATTAAGGGATGCAGTGCTTGTGTTGTAAACCAGCCGCTTAACAAATGCACACCAGCTCAACCGACCCCGTTACCTCGTGGTCCGTCGATTAAAAGAGCAGTCGATCTCGTTGGACCTATTGATGGTAAGCATATCCTGACTTACATCGACCACTACTCCTCCTATCCAGAAGCATGCATCATCAAAGAGATAACTTCCCGTGAAGTTATTAAAGCACTGACAGCTATCTTTGCTAGATTTGGATACCCAGAAGAACTTGTTACTGACAACGGCAAACAATTTATCAGCGCAGAATTTGAAGCGTATCTAAATGCATGTGGCATTCAGCACATTCGCGTGTCTCCGTATTACGCGTGTAGCAATGGGAAACTAGAAATTACTAATATTAATAATAATAATAATAGTAAAGCCGATGGCATCTCTGCTTTTCGTTTTGTCACCAAGATTCCTCAATCCATATTCATCGCGGTAGTCTTAATTTTTTTTAAGGATTTCTCCTTATTTAGGGCGAAATCCAAAAGAGATATTAAGATCAGTGTTAGAAATGACTGTAGTAAACGCTTAGGCGTTAATCGCGGAAGCAAATGGGTCACATTTTAAGAAAACTCACAGATAAACTTCTCAGTTTGCCAGAAAAAAATATTTAGCAGTACATCGTTAAGTCTGGAATGGCTGCCGAACAGCTGCTATTACACTATGATGCTGCATGTTCTTCGATTTAAATTCCACGGAACCTACGTTACCTGTAAGATTTAATTAATTTTGGATAGTTTGCGGTGCAAGTCTTGTTATTCCTTGAAGTGTGTTCCATGTCCAAGATGGCGTGAAAAAGCAACATGCTCAAAATGTGCATCCAGTTTTTTTTTTTTTTGTTCTTTTCTTCTCGGTGTTAGTGATTTCAGTATGGGCGGAAAAGATCTATCCTTCTCCAACGCCGAGGTGAACCTGACGTTTGGTTAGGAGTAAAAAAAAACGTTCACATTTAACAAGTGCAGTGAGAAGAGAGCCCCTAAGTGATAATAGAGTAGTGAATGTTAGACAGCCAAGACAGGTGGACATTGCTTACAACGAAAATAATTGCCTCTAGATAGCGAACCTCTATTTTATCAGGCTTAAATGGAAATTCTGATAGCTGTTCAAATAGTCCCAGGCTACACGACGAATAGTGACTTATGTCGGCTAAAAAACTTATCAGAGGACCTTTAAAGGATAATAAGACAACTCATGAGACAAAGCCCTTAAAATTCCACTTACGTATTTAATATGTCAACATCCTAACCCTCTAAACAGTAAAAATATACACAGCTCGCATCAAAGAGAGTAGGTAAAACTATTATAAATATCATTACACTACCTAAGAAAAAGTTAAAATGTTTTTCAACATAGTTGGGATAAGGTACGATTTATACTGAAAGCAGATATGTGTGATACTTTATGTTTCCTAATAGTCTAAAAAGTCTAATTAACATAAATGTGGCTTCCCGACTATTAAACGAAAAATAATTTACTCTGTTCTCTGCGCAAAAGAAGGGTATTTATTCGGGACGCAATGGTAGCAGACGCCGGGAAAATATGAGGACAAATATGCAAAGTTCGAAACGTTAGCTTCATAGTGGTCAATTTATTTCATCAATTCAGTTAATAAAACCAAATTTTCTTGTAACAGCCCCTACTGATGCAACATCACAAGGTTGGCATTTATCCATTTATATGCATATAAGAAATCGTGTTATCGATCCTCAGCATTGTAAGGGAAAATGTATGATTGAAAATATTGTTACACTACCACTAAAAAAAAGAAAAGATAAATTCACCACAGGGCTCCTATTTATGTAGTCCTTTAAATTCATTACTGAAAGATAGGTTGTTTACTCAACCACCAGGAACTAACATTCGGACGCACCAGGCCACGGACATAAGAAGTGGTCTTTTTTCTGTCGACGAATTCCATTATTTGAATATGCCTCGGGTTGGAATAATCCCGGTTTACGACGACGTTGAGTGTACCTTAAAATGTCTTCAGAATCCTTCGTGTCTTTCCGTGAACCTGGTCCTGGGGATAAGATTATGGTGCGAGCTCCTGTCATCAGATAAGCACAGCGACCCCGAGGAAATACAAAAGAATAAAAGCTCCCATCAATTTAACATTGTGGTAAGGAAAGTGCTTTTCATGTTGTTAGATAGCTACATCCAATGATCATAATTACAAAATAATTCAGAAGAAGAAAAGTAAAAGATGGTCGATACGAAAAATTATATAATTCTTTTTCGCCCCTTTTTAATACTAGTCCTGTTTTTAGAGTTAGGAAAAGCCTGTAAACTTAGCCGAATATAGTTGTTTTTCTAATATAATGTCCTTATATTTATGCATTCATTTATTCCCTTTTTAATCATCTATTTCTTAATTCATTTTTCCTAGCTACTTCCTCTTGCAATTTCCCTTCTTAACCATGTTCTCCTCAGTTTCGCAAGGATGCTTGTGCTGAAAATCCTTGCATGAGCAACGCCACAATGATGTCAAAGCGGATTCATTGACAAAGGATATCGCTCTCTGTGTCCTACTGGATTTAAAGGTGTGAGGTGCGAAACAGGTAATAAAAGAAACGTCTTTGTCGTTTCATGAATCTTTCACTCATCAACTTCGAAAAGGGTCATGACGGTGAATGCTCCTTGAGAATTCTTTGTGTCCGTTAAACCGTCTTTTCTATTTACATAATTTACACAATTATTGACATTGAGTGTGTTGGAGGGTTACAGACGAGTAGTGACGATGCCTTTTGCAAAAATAATGTAAACGCCGATTCACTGGAAATAGACCAGTAATGCCCATTAACTTTGGGCATTATGGAGTTTAAATCTGATGACTAGCTTATAGAAGGAAATTACTAGTTATTTTGACAAGTATCTTTGATTGTGAACGACTCGTTTTTTGGTAGTTTACTTTCTTCCTTTGCAGTCAGCTATTTTCAAGGGTTTTGATTCATACATGGACATATAAACCTTGATGTTGGGAAGATTTACAGACTTGCCAATTCTGACTTTGGCAAGCCTTATTCCTTTTTCAATTTTCTCCTGTAACTATCATTTTTGTCCCCTCTCTCCCACTTTGGTAAAAAGAACTTTTCTGACAATAAAAAGGGGAGCCGAGAAAGCGTGGTTCTCTTTCTTTCAAACCCAATCTCTAAGCGTTCGCTGGCTACGACCGGCTCAGCAAATAAAAAGGGGGTGGGGGAAAATCCCCGCGCTAATTCGGTGCTAATTATGTTGCAGAGGAGTGCAGATAATATAGATATACCTTTTATGATATAATTTCTGTGATAGATACTTCGACACGAGTCAACAGAAGGCGAAATTTACGTACTGATCTTGACACAGTGCTGAAGCTCATTTATTCATTTTCGGATATTGACGAGTGTACTGAAGCTGTACACAATTGCAAGCCCACTCAGAAGTGCAAGAATAGCCAGGGATCTGACCAAACTATTTGTCGCCCTGGATACTATGGAGAGGATTGCATTACATCGAGTAATGCGAAAAAAAATATAAGGGATTAAGGGAACAGTCGTTAATTATCACCCTGGAAGAGGGGGGTGGGGGGAGGCTGTGTGGAGGAGAGGAGGATTTTGGGGGGCATCAAATGCCCTCCAAGCAAGTAATTTATGGTTCGAAGCGAGACACCCCATTCACTATACTACTCAAGCACGGAGGAGGTCAGTCGTTGAGTACAGGGTTGTATATTGAGCTTGAAAAAGTGGCATATTATGTTACTAGTATGGCGGGATTTTTTTCTAAATTAAACTAATGCTATATATATAAATTAAACGAATGAAGCCTTACACTGCTGTAAAAAGTAAAATGTTTCACAAATCCGAGCTTTCGCCGATCAACGGCATCATCATCTTTGTAGATATATTTTTTCACGGACGGAAATTCCATTATTGAGACGAAAGACCATGAAAGCATTGATGTCAAGATCATTACTAATGAAAACGACCCCGCCAATCTACGCCTGCACGAAGCATTTTTCATTAGAAAGTAAAAACCTACACTCAATTCCCGGGAAGAATATAGTGAATTCGCAGATCTTCTATTTTAGCATCTCGTTTTTTAGACCATTTTAACGCTTTTATACATCCTTTGTTTATAACGGTCCATCATTAGAGCCTTTATTATGTTCCATTCACAGTTTATTTCCACAGCTTTCATAAATAGCCACGTCTTTCACACATTTCACCACACACTCTTTTTACATATGATATATAGCCCTTCCGGAATATATTTTCTCATCCCTGATGATGCTCAGTTGATCGGCTAAAGCTCGGATTTGTGAAACTTTTTACTTTTTACAGCAGTGTAAGGCTTCATTCGACTAATTTATATATATTTCAACAATGCTACTGAAGGACAACATGAACATATTATTTAAACTAATGCTGTTTCGTTAACTGCAAAAGCGGGATCTTGGACCAACACAATCTGTGCTTATGTTGCCTAGTCCTGTAAAAGACAAACGACGCAGTATTGTGGTAGCCTTAATAATAATAACAATAATAATAATAATAATAATAATAATAATAATAATAATAACAATAATAATAATAATAATAATGATAATAATATATTATTTTAACCTTCTTCCCTCAACACGTTGCAAAATTGTAAATAGACCAAGCCAGGACCAAGCTTGAAGACAACGAGTCTCAGAGATCGAAGAAGTCGTGACTCTGTCTCTGTTTTCTTAAAAAGAAAAAGAAATGCTCGTTTTTCAAGTGGGGGGAGGGGGGGGGGAGCGTTGATCCAATGAATACAAAAGAGCCTAATGGGAGGATCAGGTGAATTCTATCGTGAGAAAGCATAAGAGAAATTTGTTCTAAAGAGCAGTTCAAAATGAAGCGAATGAGGGAGGCTTTGAAAATCTCCAAGCAGAGTAATTTTATCACTCTTCCCACTCTGATATCAAGGGAATGCCCCACAACCATATGGAACTTAGCTGCGTCAGATATGCAATCCATTATCGTAACAACCTATCAGTGCATTTCGCCACGTTTACAACCCTTAGCCATACAAAATAGATTATAGTCATTGGAAACTTTTGACACCGTTTCAATGCTGTTGATCTTGCAGCTTGGAGTTGCAAGGAGGCTCATGAAAAGAACATGTAAGTCCAAGGAAAGGATATAGCCTTTATCTTAAAAGTACAAGGACGATAAAAAATAAAAAAAGAGATAGATATAGTAAACATATAAACATAAATAGATATATGAATGAGGATAATGATACCAAACTATGTGAGTTAGGTGAGTTACCTTAATTATGTATGGTTACCTAAAGGTTCACCTAAAAACTGAAGCTTTTCCTGCAAAGACTATGGAGACACAAAGAAATAAAAACTAAACAAAAACAACAAAAACAACAATAACAAAAAAAAATGAAAACAACAAAACAAAACAAAACAAAAAAAAAATCTTTAAAGGCCCATTTCCATCCAAGATCCTTTGCAGTCGTTTGTTTTTGTTTTGGAATCGCGCTATTGTTAAATGGCGAACATTCACAAACACTATTAAAAAGAAAAACAAATATTTGGTGAAGAGCACAGTAAA